ATTATTTTTCAGCCTTGTAACTCTGTACCAGTAGATTTCATTGGTCAGCAAAGCTGAGCAATTGTTTTGTTATTTTCTCCTGTTGATGGCACTGTCAGGTTTTTCTCAAGTAACACATGAAATTTGATAGACAAAGTTCTATCATAGCAGATTATATGTTGTACCTATGTACTTGCGGATATTTTAGAAGTATTGGCTAAGATTTTATCATGCCTAGTACTAAAAATTGCAAACACAGAATAAGATTCTCTTGATTTTTTTTTTTCTTTCCTGGTTTTGTTTTGTTTTTTTAATTGTAAAGTACGAGTATGAAGGGGTGATCAAACCAGGCACTGAACTGTATGCCTTCGCTTACTGCATGTGCTTTCTTTTAGCCCCTCTATTTCTCCCTCTGGAATTCTCCCTTGGCGCATCTTTTCCAGCTTTCCCTGCAAAACAGCCACTTGAGGAGCCCTCAGTACTTGCGTTCAGGCGACTGATGCCATTCTGTGGATTCTAAAGGATGCTCAGGTTGATAAACGCAAGTACCGAGGCAGCTTGGAAACAAGGTCTGTCCAGCACCTGGATGTGTTGGCACATCCTTAGTCAAGGTCATTTTTCACCAGGCATTCCCAATTGGCAAACAGGCGTGTGTAGAGAGATCTGAGCCATGTTTTTCTCAAGGCAGTTCCATTGACTACATTGAACCAGGCTTTGCTGCTTTGGAAGGTGTCTTCTTCTGGAAGGTGCATTATTCAAATACAGATACACGCTAAATTAAACAATACTTCTTTTTCAGCATACACCTCCTTGGCGTGTGTTTTTTTTCCCTTTAAGTTGAAGTGCATCTTATTTCTTGCATTACTATTGAAATATTGATCGTTGAGTTGAAAATATTTAATTTGGAAATTAAAAAAAGATCAGTGGGAAAACATTCAGTAGTACAATTTAAATATGCAAATCGATCCAAGTTCAAATTGCTGTGATTTGATTCAGAATCAGATATGTGATGTGAAGTAGCAGCTGTGTGTCTGATCATAGTAGGGACTGATCTATTGCCTATTAGTTTATGAAGTACTTGAAGATTTACTTGAAAAAACCCAAAACCAGCCACCAGTTTCCCTATACATGGCTGTACATTGTGAGATCATGCCCTTGAGATGTTTATGTGACTCTTCCACAGTTTTAAATTAAATCATTTAGTCATTATGCCTTTTCCCCCACTCCGCCTCCCCCAGGATGTGAATTCTCTTTAATTCTGCTCTGTGTACCCCTAGCCACCATCATCTCTTATTCTGGTCTTTACTAGATGCAGCTTTCTGTAGTGCATCATCAACATAATCCAATGTACCTTCTCATTGAAAACATCCTTGTTTTCTTGCTTTTAGGTGAAGGCAAAGCTTAAACTTACGGCAAGACAGCTTACTATTTGTGTGGTCTGTAACAGTAAATTAGTTTTCAGTGACCGAAAAATTACTTTTTCATTGAATCTGCACTCCAGCTTTTTAGTTAATATCTTTAAGTCTCAAGAGTATACTAATAATTTAAATTAATTCTGAATAATTTAAGTTAATTCTGAGCACCACTGCATCGATGGGCCTGAGCTGAATTTTAAAAATAAACCAAATGTGGTAATCAGTGACATTTTTTATGCTTTTGCACTTGTCTGTGTTACTTTGAGCTAACACATTTCTGAGGGAGGAATTTGGCCTGTGGGATACGTAGCTGGGAGTGATGAATGAGCAGATCTTGACTGGGGATCTGAGTGAGTTTGTCTGTAAGCTTGGGAAGTGTTTTGTGGGAGTGGCAGCCGGCAGTGACATGCCAAAAAGCCTCTCTTAACACAGAAGAACACACTTCACAGCTGCCAGCGACATTTTTCACAAAGAAAGCCCACTGTTAGTGTGCTTACCCTGGGTTTTTTGGGTCGGTTTTTTTAGTGGTGTTGGGTTTTTTCCCCCTCCCACTTGCTTAATATAGAGAGAAATAGTGTGCATCTAATGCAGTATTTTGCTGATTTGTCAGCTTGTGCTTCAAGAAGTGTCTGTCGAGACTAAGAGCACTATGACCCAGAATGAGTGGTGTCTGGCTCAGGCAGTGTTCTGGGAAGGCTGTCACCTGTCTGTTGTGGGGGTTTTGGACTTTTTGCCATGCCCCTTCACCCAGCTGCTGGATGGGCATCTCATTGTCTTCAGTGTGTCCTGTGTGCTGGAGATCAAATGAGGTGAAACATGAAAAAAATAAATGTGTGAAGATTTTTGATATTAAGCCTAAGAAAATGGATGTGTACTTCAGTATTTCTGAACTTGAAATTCAGTCTCTTGAATCTAGATGTTTATGTTGGTATTTTGCCTGGAATTTTGTCTAGGAGCTGTTGTGTGCTACCTGGTTCAGTATATTTTAGTGAGCCAAGTGAAATTCTTTGGTATGGTCTGAGCTTTTAGTTCAACTTTTTCATGGATTTTGATCTAGTAGTGCTAGTATAAGTACCTTTTTTTTTTTTTGTTAATGAGGCAATAAGATTTTTCCATGTTTTGGGAGAAACTTGTAAAGGTGAAGGCCTTGGAGTGAACACCTTTATGCTAAGTCTGTGAAAGAAATAGCTCATGCTACTTGATAACAGGGAAAATGCTACAAAAGTAGATGTGGGTAAGGATAATAATTAGTACATGTGAAACTTGCTGACCTCTCAAGGGAGGGTGGAATAGGTCTTCTACCTATTTTTATGGGGTGGGTTTTGGTGGTTAAATGGCAGGGGAGAGCATTGTGTTTGTAGGAGCAGGATTGTGCTGCTTGTATTGAAGGTCTCTGAATTCTTTGCAATGGAAACTTTTCCCTTCTGGGGAAAAGGCGGGGG